TTAAGGAATTCACGGTGTTTGCTTGCTGGCTTGGGGAGTTTAGATTCTGTCTGGTGAGATTTCTGTCTTGTGGGGGGAAGCTAATAAATGCAATAGAACTGTATCTGTACTGTCTCGTGGAGTTCTTTGGGCTGAACCTGACAGAAACACAGTAATGGCGTTTTGTTAGCCCAGCGTTTAGCTTCTTGTGAGAATCACCTCCTAAAGGCAGGACCAAACATTTCTTAAAGGACAATAAAGGGAACCAGCTTCAAGCAGTTGAACCACAGCCATCTTTCTGGGAACTCTTCTGGGCACCCTGAATACTAACCCGTGGGTTTACGTCGGCCATGGAGGTAAAGGAGGACACGTAGGAATGAGCCAGTGTTCCCTGTGCTGGAATCCCGTAGAGTTTCCCAGCGAGGACGTTGCTGGTACAATCAAAACCTGGAAAAGGGTAATTGCAAGCTTTTTGTGAGATGGGCGGCCATATAAACTTGATATATAAGTAAACAAACCAACCAAGGGGACAGGAGCAGCCCTTAAGCCCTGGGAGAGGAGACAGGGTTAGGAAGACTCCCTGGGGTAGAAGAGGGAGGAGAGGAGAGGTTTCCTGAGAAATGAGGTAACATTCAACCTCCCTGATTCAGGAGAGAACAGCACAATCAGACTGGCAAGAATTTGTTATTACAGCCAATCTCGATAAAAGGACTTTTAGCCTCCGGTGGAGCTGATGTCTTGGTCTGGTTTACTCGTGGGGCTGACCTCAGGCCCCACACGCTAGCCGTCGAAAGGAGAGCCACCAACTGGACCTACCCCCCACGTAGGAGTACTTGGATGCCGAGAGGCCTCCGTCCAGCCCCTGAGCCCGACGCAAGCCCATCTCCATCAGCTTCTTGTCTGGACCTGCTGCAAGTCGGAACCGGGCCGCGTTTGTAGCCACCAGGCTGCAGAGGGAAGATCCAAGTGGAGCATTAACTGTTTACCGTATGGCCATCCACCCATTACAGAGCACTAATGCAGTTAACAGCATTGCTAGGACTGACCGAAGTCTTCTTTTTCTTTTCACGGCGCACCCTAAAGCATTGCCAAAATTTGCTGGTCACAGTGTAAAATAATTCACGGCCTAAGCTTTTCAAGAGCACTTACAGAGCCTGGTGGCTTTCATGGGTTAAGCAGCTAACATTTCACCCCCAAAATATCCTATGCAAATCCATGCATATGGACCCTTTACATCCTAAATCTAGTCTCACCAAAACAGAAAAAGAAAGTCATGGCAGAATAGCGTGAACTGGCACAGCAACCACACACTGAAATAGGGTGCCCTCCTTAGTTCATTTTCCCACCCACCTCATTAAGGGGTCACAGAGAATAGGCCTGTGCGGACCTACTAGATCGTAATGAAATTAAAGCATGGATCTTCTTAACAAAACCAGTCACTTATATATGGTTTATGCCATCCTAAATAGCTTACAGGTAGTCCTCACTTACTGACCACTCATTTAGTGACCATTCAAAGTTACAACAGTGCTGAAAAAATAACTTTACAGCCTATTTATGACCATTTACAACCTTTGCATTGTCCCTCAGTCACATGATCACCATTTCAGTCAGTAGTCAGTATGCGTTGTCCTGTGCCTGACCTGTGGGTTTTTCTTCCTCCACCCCTTGCAGAGCAGAGATTGGAGAGGAAGAGATTTCAAGACAGTAAGCTGTTTGCTCTTCTACACATTGAAAGCAATGCGATTGCGCCAGCAGCGGGAAAGAGTCAGACAAAGCAGAGATTGCCTACAGAAACTGCTTGCTTTCTTCCTCCCCTCTCCCCTCACAGAGCGGAGAGATTGGAGAGGAAGGGATTTCAAGAGAGTACTGTGAGCTGTTTGCACTGTGCGCCTGTGGCTCCCAGCCCCAGGCTGTGGCACGATTGCATTGCTTTCAATATGTACAAAACAGTAAGCAGGTGCTGGACCCTTCCAAAGGCGGGGGAGTAGTTAGGAGGCAAACCCAAAAGCCAAAAGTGTGAAACTGACTCTTTCCAGCTGGAAAGCACAGTTGTGGTCACAGATTTCCCACTTAGCGACTGCTTCGCTTAGTGGCAGAATTGCTGGTCCCAATTAGTGTCATTAAATGAAGACTACCTGTATTGTAAAGAAAAGTGGACACTGTTTGCACAACATACTCAGTTTGGTCCTTAAATTAACCTATTTTTTGGGGGGGGGGGTTGGCACTCTCAGCATCTTTTACCCTAATCTCATCACTCTGATGGGATTTAGCAACATGCTAGGCCAGAAAAAAACTAACTAGACTTAAAACTAAATAAAATTAGCAGGTTCTGCAGCTGTATAATAAAAACAGAGGACAAAGCCCATGTTCTAGATTGGCAAAGCGTATAACCAGCTAATACCCCCACTACATTAAAACAGGGGTGTCTTCAAGAGAGAATGCGTTGGATTGGAAAAATGGGTTTTCTCTATGTTGAAACAGACTAATATCAAGATGTGATCTACCCTCCCATTTTTCACTCCACAAAGCCCCCACCTAGAGTTCAAAAGCATTAAGCTGCACGGTATGCAAGTTTACATCTCCAACTATCCTTCCTTAGTTAACAAGTCCTTGAAAACATGACTTTTCTTTCTCTAGAACAGCATTTCTTAAAGTGTGGTCCAAGAACCCCTGGGGGTCCCCCAAGACCCTCTCAGGGGTCTGCAAAATGAACGTTATTTGCCAGATATTAAAGATATTTGCAAAAATTTAACACACTCTTCTTATTTTTTTAAATTTGTTAAAAAAAGAGGGCTTTTTTATGAAAGATATTTTATTTACATTAACATCTAATGATCTGATATTGTTATTTTTACATGATTCAAAAATAAATATTCTATAAATGTGTCAATTTTAATTTTTAATAGTGTAAGTATAATTGTACATAATCCACGCAAATAAAAGTTATTTTGGGGTTTTCCACAATTTTTAAAAGTGGGTAGGGGTCCTGAGAGCAAAAAGTTTAAGAAACACTAATCTAGAATATACAGCTACTAAGGGTGTGGAAACATTTTGAATTTGGAACATGTCAAACTCGAAACACTCCATTTTGAGCCTGAAGTGGCTGTCTTAATTCAAAATGGATTATTCTGGCCTGACTCCAAATGTGCCAACTCTCTTCCAGCAATTCTGGAAGGGTTCCAAAGAAGTCAAGATCAGAATAGCTGTTTCAGGAGATCACACTGAAGTAGGACAAACCAGAGTTTCGCATCCATAGAGACTGATAATCTCAGGGAAATGCGTGAACTGAGAGAAGCTTATAACTTCACTTGTGCAATGAAAGTCTGACAAGTCATTCTGCATGTTGTGATTTTAACAACTCAAAACTAAAAAAACTCACCAGGGTGACAATAGAAGAGAATTTCTGTAGCTCAGGGTTGAACTGTGGAGCCCTTGGTGCTCTCTGAGCTTGGTTGTTTGCTTGCAGATGTTTCATCACCCAACGAGGCAACATCATAAGTGCGAGGGAGGGTGGGGTTGGCTCCCT